GACCCTTAAAAATAATTAAAATGGGTAGGAATTGTCTTTGAAATCTCAGTGTACAGGAAACGGCAATTTCTGGGGATTATTTAATAAACGCATAACCACAGTGCCTAAAAGGCCGCCCTTCCGCCCCGAGCACCTTTCCAGGGCAGTGCCCCTCTGCAGTGGAGGAGAGCAGGGCTTTGGAGAGCAGGGCTCGCTGCGCTAAGCTGTCCCCAGCACCGTGCCTCCACTTTTAGAGTTTGTTTTATCGTATCCTCGAACGGCACAGCTCCAATCGCTCTCACCGTTCCCATCCTGGAGGCTGCAGATGTTTTCTCTCTGCCTCCATATAATAAAGCAGAGTCATAAAGATTTCAGCCTAATAAACATTGGCCTTTAGGGTGCTTTCAGCTTTTATCAGGCTAATAAGATTTTTGACTTACATCAAAAGAGAAAGCAGGTAAACAGAGCTTTTATGAACCTCGAAGCCCGCTGGGGACCTGCGGTCTTGTCGGAGGGTCTCGGGCTCAGGCACCTTTCTGTAATGAAAAGCACACGCAGCCTCTGGGCAAACCACGTTGGGAGCACGTTTCTGCGGATGGCTCTTCGTGGAGTATCTGGACTTAATTATTTGTCTGATACCAACCTTTCTGTAGGTATATGGGGACAGGGAGAGTTACGCCGTCTGAGCCTCGTCGTCTGTCTTACCCCTCCTCTGAGCGAAGGTGAAGCAAACGGGGACCTTTCCTTCCTCTCCGTGGGTTGTGGTCAAGCCCAGCATCACCACTCCCAAACGCGTACAAAGCCCCTCTGGCAAGCAGCACTAGCAGCTCTTCTGAGATGTTTGAGCTTAGTTGTGTGAATTGGGTTTTTTCTCACTGGCTTTTTATGGCTGATTATCAGGAGAGATGGGGGGATGTTATTAAACAGTTTGGTTTTAGGTACAAAATTCCAACATGGAAGAAGGGCGTTGTTCAGTATAAACAGGCATAAACTTCATTATTTTCTAGAAATTATTTTTTATTTAAAATTTAAAACCATATTACTTCATACAGCAAACTGTGCACTTTGATATATCACAGTGTCTTAAAAAGGAAAATAATCAGAATTTTTTCTTTTTTTTTTTGAAATTTTATTTACATCAGCCTAGAATGATCAGCAAGTAACACAGTTACTATGAAACCAAAATTGTTACAAAATGTTTACAAAAAACTATATTCATAGAAATTCTGCATGTCCACAAAGGAAAATCCCCTGAATGTCACGGAGACCATTATTTTCCTTTTTTTTCCACTCTTTTCTGTTTTTTTTCTTTTTCTTTTTTTTATTTTTTTGTCTTTTTTTGAGAAACATGTCAAAGTAAGGTACAGACAGCTGAGGGCTTGCAATGCCGATGCCCAGGAATGCTCCTGCCTGGCCAGCCCCGAGCACCCCGGTGTCACCCGCGCAGGGACCAGGGACGCGCGGTCGCACCCCACGGTTGCTGGGGCTCGGGGTCCCCGTGCAGTTTAGCCGCATGTGGCTCGGGTCAGCGAGCGCTGGGTGACAGCTGCTGGGGCCACGGGGTCCCTTTGCGGCGACCTTCCCAGAGACCGCCCGGGCTGGCACCCGGCCGAATCCTGCTCCGCAGAAGCACCCACTGAGGGGGGAGCAGTGGTTGCCCAGAGCTGGAGCTGGTTCCCCTTTGCATATTCCGTCTCTTTGTGGATCTGTCATCTCACACGCGCTGTTGGTTAGCTCCAAACAGAAAAGCAATCCCAAACAAAGCTACCTGCTGTGCCCCTGCTCTGTCTTACAGGAGAGCTGGAAGGAAAAAGCAAGTGATAGAGGGACAGTGGACTGAGGTGACAACAGTTTAGATACAGTTTAATAGCCCAAACCTGCTTTTTCTTTATTTCCTCCTCCCTTTTCCAGTCTCTCTGCCCACCAAGCAAAGAAAGGAACTGATTTAAACAAAATTGGAACTCAGGTGATTTCTGAGACACGAGTCGTCGATAGTCACAAACAGGTCACAAGACAGCTCACAGAAGGCTTTGAGGCTTTGTCGTCAGGTCTGCCCCTTCTGAAGTCTCCCAACACATCGCTGCTAAGCGTCAGGCTCGTCGCTCCTCCTCTCCAATTAAACACCGCATGGCTTACGGGCTCCCGTGCTCCCCGGAGTGAAGGCAAGGAGCGCGCAGAGTAAATGGGAGTAACAGGAGAGACTCCAGTCTCTGCTGAGCAGTGTAGCAATGGCTGAAATAACGCTGGTTGCGGGTGGAGCTGCCCCTGGTTTGCAGCAGGAAGGCTGAGGTCTGAAACCCTCTCGCCTCCCCCCAGTTCACAGTGAGCAGGAGCCAGCGGTCCCCCCCGGGCTGGGGTCCCCCGCAGCTCCCTCAGCTCCTACGCTGGTTTGAGCGGTGCAGAACGTTTCCTTGTTGTTAATTTCAAATGTTTCAATGATCAAGGTTTAAACATAAAACCATAATGTAGATGCATGAAGTTAGCTGCTGATGGCTGATTTATGGTCAGTGCAGAGAGGGAAGGGAAAAGGTTAATCTGCAGGGTTTGGTCTCGCTGGCAGATAGCACCAGTAACTCCAGATGCTCACCTGGTGTCAAAGATGAATATATGGGGTTTACGGTATTAGTAATATTTATTTATTTAAACAAAAAATCTGCCAAGAAGCAAAATGAGTGCTATTTTCTGTGGTGTTTTACTTTCTGGACATTTAAAGCCAGTTTCAGGCTTTGTTTTTATATCTGCCTTAATTGTAAAAATCTCTTTCTAAGAGCTTAGAAATCCACAAAGAAAGTATAAAATCTACTTTTCTGACAAGCCTAAGGATTTGCAAAGAAACACAGAAGAATGTCATTAGCTTTGGGAAGCAGACCCATACTTCCAATCTATCTTCTGCTGTAGCCTTTGGTCAGCAAATGATTAAGAATATGATGCCCATTGACTTGGCAGCTTTCACCCCTATTTTTTATGGTTTCTGTGAAAAAGTGAAAATTAATGTAAATTTGTTGCATATCTTTACTTAAGTCAAAATATGACAAATTAGCTTTTTTAGTTTCAGGTCCCTATGTTGCTTTTTTACATCATGGAAAAAACAAAGTAAGAACAAATTATATTCTGTAACGGAGGGAGGGAACAGCGCTCTCCCCTTGAGCTAACTTGCTAATTCTGATCAGCTCCAAAGATAACCTTCCTAACTGAGCCTCAGAGAGAAACAGGTGTGTGTGGGGGGGAAGTCGGAAATCAGCTACAAACAGGTTTGTTCCTTTGGGCGAGGATAAACTTTCCAGAAAGGCCTTGCAGCCAGGGGAGGGCAAACTGGGTCAGTTCAGCTGCTGGTTCCTGCGGTGGCCGTGGCCCCTCGCTACGCTCACAACGCCGCGGGCAAAGTTTTGGGATGCAGAACTGGGGGCACTGGCTGCTCCATCGCCGTGTTGCCCTGCCTGCCCTCCAAACCAGGGCTTAGGTGGTGGGTGCAGGGGGCTTTCCAGCAGCAGTGCGGTCTGTGGCAGGTCACTGTCACCCTTCTGTGTGCAAGGGAAGGAGGTTGCTCTTTTCTTCAACGCCAGTGTTTAAATCAGAGCTGTTAAGCACCTTTGCAATACTGTCTGTGATGCTCTGGGTTACAATGGGCAGAGACATTTCTGTTTGTTTCATTTTGCAAATTAGTCCGCAGAGCGTCCCACTGGCCACCCGTGTGGTTCCCTGTGGAGGGATGGAGCTGAGTGACGTTACTGGAGTGTCACTTCAGGTCAGCACAGGGGTCTTTGGTAATTCTGACTGAATTCATCTGCAGGACCCGCCTTCTGGTTTAAGCAACCTGAAAATAAGAACACAGTTCATGGAAGATTTCTTAAAAACATTTTAGAGTGTGTATGTTTAAATCACGTGGAGATGCTGCCTGAGGGGCTGCGGTTCACCAGGCAGAGCACGAGGGGTGTCAGGTTTGGCTCACACAGTGCTGTTTGTCCCAGGCCAGCCCTGGCCCTGCAGGCTGAGACTTCATCTTTCGGGTCTCTGATGCCATGGAGAGCATTTAGTCCTAAACCAGACATACAGTCCTCTCCTGGTCCGAGTGCGAACGCAGCGGGGCTGCAGTTCAGTGCTGCTGAATTTCATGGAAATTGGTACCGTTTGGCTCTTGGAATCAGTTCTGCTCCCACCACTGCTGAAGCCTGTGGACTTGGCCGCTTTCCGCGCTTCTTTGCAGGAGAGACTGAGCTTTGCAGAAAGAGAGAAGGAGCCAAGGACCTGGAGATCATGGTGTCACCCTGGGTGCGGGCTGGAGTTTGGCACAGGGCGTGTGGGTGCTGTCACTCGGAGATGGCAGTAGCTCCCATGCCCGCTGCACCGTCCCATCCCTGGCCAGGAGTTTGACTCTGTTCAGGCTTACTCGCCGCTTCATAGTCAGCTGTCTTGGATCTACTGATGAAGGCGTGTGTTGCCTTCTCCTGCCACATCCCCATGTGGACTTCCAGCTGCGGATGGCCACCGACACCACACCCGCGCGGCGAC